GTAGGGAAGGACAACTACTGCAGAAAGAGGCCATTCAGGGTCAAAGGCTAGAAGTCCCTATGGTGAACCCGACAAGAAGGCCGGCAGCGGCTACATGGAAGGTCTGCAGTGGCTCTGATACCATGTTGAATTGTGGAATGGAGTAGCTAAATTTTATTGATAGAAAAGGGGAGTATATTCACCCAATTACAATGACGGTCACAAGTAATAAAAACAAAATAAATAGAAATAGGAATGGAAATAAAAACAGAATAAGGAGAAATACAAAAGAAATAACGCAATAATTAATACAAATCCATATATATAATACAAATATCTACATAAATCTAATATTAATAACAGGGAGAGAATAAATAAAATCGAACAACACTGAAAACTTGATGCATGAAAAAGTTAACCAGAATTTAGGATTGTTTTTATACATTTATATTGATGATATTACACTTTAAGAAAGATATTTTTGTGTTTATCTTGCAGGTAAAACAAGTAATTAAAGTGAGGAAACCGGAAGAGGAATTTGAGCTGAATGGTTCAAAGTGGCACGGGCGCCTAAGCGCCGGACCTCCCTTGGGCACTAAGCGCAGTCCATGACTTACCAGCCCGAGAGGTCGGTGATTAGGGCACCTAGGCGCCGCGATACCAGAGCGTAGGCACCGGACCATTGGGCGCTTAGGCATCAATTCATTCCACGACAAACCAAGAGTCTGGCGTCTATGCGCCAGAAACTGCCTGGAGCAGTTGCTGCAGTTTGTGAATAGGGGATCATGTAAGGATGATAGGGAGTTATCGAAGCGGTTGTAAAGTGGGTTCTTCTTGGAGTTCCTTTTTTTTTAGTGCAAAGGCTTAGGGAATCAGGAAGTGTGCTTGTTGAGTCAACTTCTGGTTGTTGTAAAGGAGAAATTAGTTAAGTATCTTTGTATTGATTGTTGTATTTCAGTTGTATCAAACTGTAAGCGGATTTCTCTTTTGTTCAATGCAATTGTTTGATGATTTCAGCATGCTTCTTAGGTAAACCTTTAACTCTTTATTGTGATGATTAAGTGGGATGATTGGAATGTGAATTGCTTGATAAGTTTTCTTTATTTTCAAATGGTGATGATTAACCATAAGAATTTAATTTATTTTTCATTTTGGCCAAGTGAATTGTTAAAACTTGTTGTGACCATAAAACTTAGGAAAGCTATGGTAGAATCAACTAGGCTAATCACATTAAACTATGAGGTATAGGTTGATATGTCTTGTAAGGAGAAGCAAATGTTAGGAAAATATGTTTTGAAGGGATAGCTATGAGATTTAAAGAATTAAAGTCAATTTTATCCAAACTTCTTTATGCTTTCTATCCAAGCTTATTTATGCACTCGAAAGATCTAAAAAAAATTGTTGCTCCTATTTGCCACTAGTCTTTTACTACTTGCAAATTTACATTCCATGTCATTCACTTAACTCATTACAAGGAAAAGCCTCTTAAGTATTTGATATCTTTCAATCCAAATTGCTAAAAGTAGGATTACTTGTGTATGATTTAAATTTGTTGTTTATGGTAACACAATAGGTTAGCTTTTCGGACTTTAACATTTTCAACCTTTTAGGCTAGGACTTAGAACCAGCATGCTAGAATTCCTCCTAACAAAAATATCTCGTTCCTTGTGGGATCGACATTTCAAACTCTAAAATTCGATATTAATGATACGACATGTGCACTTGCGTAAGCCCCCTGTGTGTTGTTGCACCAAGAAGTAGTAACAAAACCCTAGAAAATTCCAGCAGTGTTATAAACTTCAATGCATCTAATGCGACTCTATTTCATAAAATTGCAGTTAATGCCATGGATTCTACCTTGCTTTCATCCCCTTTTTGCTAAGTCCCATCCAATACATTATTAGATGAATCTATTCATCTTATTCCAAAAGCTACTTCATATGTAGGAATTGCATGTAACACTAATAGTGGATATCAATGAATTTTTAGTGTGTTGGGATAGTTTAATTTATAATGATTCATCAGTTATCTTAAGGATGCCCAACCTTTTCAAAACTTGATGAATATCAAATGCTAAATTTAGCTAGGTCAAAATTTTCAAGTTGATCAGATTGATGTGGAATTTCTTCCACTAAGTGCTACAATTTACATCAATTCAAGAAAAAAAAAAATTTGCTCCTAGTTACCACTTGCTTTTTGAGTACAATACAGGAGATAAGTGTTGTCAGTAAATAAACCTGAAGAACAGCAGATTCTGTCACAATGTCTCCACTATCCATGAAATCAACGATGGGTGTACAGGAAGCATCCTCCATAACTTCCTTGCCAATGCATTTCATATTGAAACCATACACATTTTCCCAAAACGGTAAGCTCGTTCCCCCTCTTCCAAATCCAGCAACAAGCTAATGACAAATAACATTGAATTGTTAGCATGAAAGTAGTGTAGAATAAACTAAGACGTATTAGATTTCGTACTTCCTTACAATAGTAGCGGTGTCTGGTAGGATAGCACCGCCAGGTTTCAGCCACCGATCACGTGCATAAAGAACAGAACCGAGCATTGACTCGTACAAAAGGCAATATCCCATCCACTCACTCACTAACACATCAATGCTATGTGGCGGTATCTTTTTAAGTTTGTCGAGTTCTTCGACCATAGTCTGAACAACATCAATTAAACC